TGCTGACTCTCATCACGTCCCCATCCCTCCCACATACTTGCAATCAAGCCAGATCACATAAATAGCAGCTATTCGAATATGTCATTTTGTCCCAGACCATTGTGTACACCACTGTCTTTGCCTAGAGTGCTCTGCTGATTTTGTCACCTGGTCCACTATGGATTATCCTTCAAGACCCACTTAGTTATCTTCTTCTCTGGATACCATTACCATAAAAACCCCTTCTTTTGTGTGAGGTGCTCTGTGTTTGTGGGCCAGCAGACCCTCGGTGCCCCTCTGTCTTAACACTTAATGTGGTGCATTTGTGACATTTGTCTATTTCCTGTACTGGCCATGGACCTGGAGGACTCTTTTCCCTATATGTATGTCTTCCTAGTTCTTGACAGATATTTATCTACAAGAAGAAAATATAACATTCATCATTTTATTATGGGTAATAGGGAAGCTGCAAGTGGAGATAAGGGGTAAATAATTTGCAAATATTTGGGAAAAAATTCTAGGTGTTTTTTTTTTTTGTGTGTGTGTGTCTTCTTTTATATGTCTATTCTGATCCAAACATTATTTTTAATGAAATGATTCTGTCTTCTAAATGATTTGGCAGTTATTTACTTGGAATAAAGATGGAGGTCCTACAAAATAAACAGAGGACAATTAGTTATTTTAAAGAGTGTTGACCCACAATGATTATTTTCTTTCTCTTCATGCTCATTTGGTAAGATGGCTCTCTGTGACTGTGTAATTATGGATGGATGGCATTGAAATGCTTGAACAATAATTTGTAGGAAATACAATTATGAGTAGAAGTTATTAGTGGGAGTAAATGAATAGTTTGTTTGGTTAATAGGTCAATGTTGAAAGCCCAAAGTGGTTAAACAGTGTATTAAATTATAAGTTAGGATCATAACTCTTTTTCATTTAAGTATATTCATAAACTATTGAGCTTTTAAAACTGCATTTTTATGTTTTTTGATTTGTGGTAGAGAAAGGAAGGCAGCTGCCCAACCTGGGTTTCTTAAAAGAGCTGTGAGGTGAAATGACTCATGTTCAAAATGTGTGCAATGCTTTCTTCATCAGAGAAGCAGTCGTTCCACCTTGTGTGGCATTTAAATAATATTTATGAAGTAAGGAATATAATGTTTTGAGAATCAAATTTGATTGGATACAGTTAATTTGTAGATATTTCCAGAGATCAGGAATTCCATTATATGTCCAGTTCTTTGGTTCTGGATCCAGAAGACCTGGTTTCAGAACTTGCTGCTGACATCTTATTGCTGTGTAATCATGTCCTTGAAGAATCTCAACTTTCTAGGCTGTATGATCTGTTAAAAGAAAACCAACAACAGAAACAATTCTTACTTTAGAGTAAAACTACTTAGCATAGAACTTATTCTAAGTGCTTAATAATTGTTTTTGTAGTAATTTTTACATATTAGCTATTATATACTCATTTAGGTATATATCTGATGGAGATTTGCAGAAAATATCTGGAAGGCAATATTCAAAATAGTTCATTTAAATCCCCTATGTGTTGAATCCTAATTGTGAGCCCAGGACCATGCTGGAATTCTGACACATATAAAAGAAACATAAGGCAATATCCTGCATCCAAGGTGCTGACTGTCCTCATGGGGGGATAAGACACATGCATTGTAATAATTACAGACTAATTTAGTATTGAAATATATGGTACTGACTATGGGTTATATAACTGAAATCTCTCCAGGCCTCTCCGAACCTGCTCAACCTGGGATATTTCAGTAGTGATCATAAACATTTTACTGCCTGCCTCTCCTAGCTCTCATAGAACCTCCAGCCTTTTCCAGCATTTCTGCCTGCTTGCTGTAGATATTCTCATGACGGATTTCATGAGTTCATCAACTAGCCCGTCTCATCTTTCATGCACCATTCCTCCTATTTTGGCTTTCTTGGTCCTTGTCTTCCATTTAGGGAGGTGCTTGGGGCTGCCTTATCCCAGCCCCCGCTGCCGATACCTGCCATGAGAGTCCTGAACACATGGGTGCCAAGGCGCAGGCTTTCATTGCTGCCCAGGTGGTCATACCCTGAGGTGTACAGTGTGCTGTGTCCCACAATGAAGCACGGTGACTTCCTCTTTTGCCACTCAGGGTCCTACCTAATCACCTGGACACCAAAACTTTGGAGTGTTGGTTTCTCCATGACTCAGTCATGATTTTCCTCATTCGGTACATATTTATTAAACACCTGGTATATGCTAGACACTGTGGTAGGCATTGGTGCTATCATGGTGAGCAAATATAGGCATAACTCCTCCTGTCCTGTTTAATAGGGGAGACAAATAGAGAAGGGCATTAATAGAGGCCAAATGGCAATGTGTTCAGTGCTGGCAAGGAAAGGAACATGGTGATGGGAGGGTTTGACCCCGTTAGGGCGGTCTCAGAGGCTTTTCTGAGGAATTAAGTTTAACATCATTCTGAAGAAAGGGTTGATGAAAATCCCAACAGAGGAGCATCAGGTGCAAAATCCATCGGGAGGGTTCCTTCAGCTCCTTTCTTCAGGTTCAGTGGTCCGTTTGGTCAGGAGCGAAAATCCGTATCTGAGGCAGATCCCATGCTGTCTCTGTCATCTTTTCCTCTCCCCTGCTCCTCGTGTACGCTTCTCCCGCACTAATAACACAACTCACACAAATGGCCCATCAACTAGCCAGGTATGCTTGGGCATGCCTAAATCTCAGATGCACACAGGCCTTTTGCATAAGGAAGACCCACAGCGCTGTAATGTCTATGGGAGGAGGTGGACATAAGCATGGGCTGAAATGCTGCCTGAAATTCAGTGGAAGAGGTGGGGCTTGATTTGTGTTTTGGAAGAATAGGCGACATGAAGAAGGCTGGGCACACAGGTGGAAGAGACAGAATGGGCAAAGGGATAGAGATGGAAGGAATCCTGTTAAGTGACAGGAGGTAATGAGACTGGGCTTCCTGGAATGGAGACTTAATTAAGGAGTCAGGGACTATAAAGTAGAGTAAACTTATGGAGAATCTTAAAAGTCAGGAAGAGAATTTGGTGCTTTGTTCCTGAGTATTGTAGGCAGATGCTGTAGGTTAAGTGAAAAAGAAGGGATGTAATTAAAATAACTTAGCAAAGTTTAAAAAAATAATGCAGAATAGTCAGAAGAATAAAAGCTAGATGTAGAGAATCTAGCTCAGCTGATTATCATAATTTTGACATTCTCAAATTTGAGATGATAATAGCTATCTCCTACATAGCTAGAAATATAACTGGCGACCATGAAGCATGCAGGCTTGATGTTCTCGTCATATTTTTTATGAGAGTGAGTAAATTCTGAAACAATTTTACTGTATTATAGAGGCTCTGTCAACATTTGAAAGGACATAAATTTATGTTAATAATGAAAAATGCACTTCAAAGATTCTCTGATTTTTTTATTTATTTGATTAAGAATGATTAATTGAGAAATATTTTTGTTATCCCTACTCTTGGTTCTTCCATGAATAGCTTGCATATTGATAGGTGCATAGTAGGTGTTTGTTGCATATTGAATATTGTGAACAATTGATCACAGATTTTAATAGCATTTTGCCTTTGATAAACACTTCCTTTGCTCCTTAGAGATTTTCCTGTGCAAACATTGAAGAACCAATCATAGAAATTCACATATGTGTGCATATACATATAAATAAACTTTATTTAATTTTGTTGACCCCAAAGGTTAAAACAAACAAGGAACAAAATTAAAATTATTTTCTTTTGGGATGATTTATGTCTTAATTTTTACCTGCCCTATAATTAGACATGTTGAACTCTAAATGTTTTTTAAGATAAAATTATTGCCCAAGTAAACTTCAGAAATTACATCATTAACCCAGAGACCTTTTTAAGCCTAAAACAACATTATTGGTGCAAGTGCCCATACATACACAGACAAATAAGTAAAGAGGAAAATCTAAAATGATTTGAAAATGATTTATTGTTGGCCACCCCTGTAGTTAGAGATTCAAGTATTATTATATTACTGTAGTGCAATAGGGGAGGACAGGAAGTTGCTGTGGGCTAAAGGTAAATTATGATCTATTGCAAAGGAGGAAGGAAATGTACTGAGGAAAGAAGAAGGAGTTGGGAGTTAGCCATGTATTTTCTGAAGTATTGCTTCAGATAATGTCTTGAAAAATTTTTTTGCCTTGACCCTTGCTGGAAAAGGCCAGAGTAAATAGAGTAAACTGGGAGACAGTCTACCTTCTTGAATCTTTGACAGTGAAGGAGTAGCCTACTGGCATCGGAGGATTGGATGGATGCTGTGGACTCCAACAGAAACCAAGGTACCTAGAGACACAAGCTACCCTTACATTTTGCATAGCAGTCCTCTGTGGAACCCACCCAATTTTAGAGTTTGAAAAGATCATTTAATACAACATGGTTCAGGACAATCTGAGATAATTTGGACTCTGTGCTCTACTAACACAATTTGTAAAGTGAGCTGAAGTCTTTAGATTAGAAATTCAGTATGAATAGCTATCTGTTTCTATTTGGAATAAGAAATAGGTGGTAAAATTACATACTCAAAGCACAGAGTATTGAGGGTCTATTATATGATAAAGTCCAAACCACATGTTTCATGAATATTATGTTATTTAATCCTCCTAAAACCCTTTGGGGGAAGACCTTGCTACTTCTGTTTTATAACTGGGGAAACTGAAGCCCACTGTTGAGTTTATTACTCAAAGAAACATGGTTAGAATATGGCAATACTGTGATTCAGTTGTAAGTCTGACTCCAATTCCTGTGTTTTTTTGTAATGCCATTCTCAATGCTGGATTACTTTTATTGCTGCCATGTGACAGATTAAACAACAACAATAACAATGAAAAAGTGAAGGCATTGGTGCTTATTGAGCCTGAAACTTACTTTCCCAGGTGATTTGTTCACAGGATTCTTTGGCTGAGTAATACCACATTTGTATTAACTATTTGAATGTCTGAAGGCACATTTTCCTCCCACTGCTTTAGGTTCACTACCAGAAGTAATTGTCACTCATCTTCGAGCAGCTGCCTCTGCCCGTGACACAGTGTTGGCTCTAGAAGATGCTGTGGACTGGCACTCTGGGGATGAAGTTGTCATCATCGGTGGAGTGGGTGTTGAAGGTGCCAAACCCATGGAAGAGATTGTCGTTGTGGAAACTGTGCACAATGCAGACCTGTATCTGAGATCACCCTTGAGGTACTGAGTGACAGCTTGGGTCCATTTAGATGGAAGAAGATGAGGTCTTAACTGTGCTGGTGTCTGTACATTTTTTTTTGTCTTTCAATGATGTCTTTTTAATTAAATAATGTTAGGTGCTTTGACAAGAAAAATTACAAAGCATGTGCTGTTTTGAAGATTTAGATTTCTTAAATAAGTTTTTCTTGTAAAACTCTAGAACTCCCATGTTAGGTGGTCAGAGCAATAGTCATCATAGTTTTCTAATTTTCACTGATTTGTGCCAATAGTTCACTCTTTTGTATTTGAGTTTCGAAAGGAATAGACCCCCCCCCCCACATAGGGTATTATGTGAATCTAGTAGCTTACTATTCCTGATAAGATTCAGAGTGTTGTCTACAGATGTGTCTTTTTCTTTCTTTCTTTTTTTGAAAGATATTCTCACAACTTCACAGAGAATTGGGTAGCTGGAGAGCACCATATTCTAAAGGCCACAGTGGCCCTGCTCAGCAGGCGGATTATCATCCGAGGAAATCTCACCAGTGAGAGGACAAAGTTCCTTGCTTCATGCCAGGAGGCTAACACTTCAGAAGGTAGAGAAGTACTTTGTTGGGAGGTCCAACGAGTGAAAAAGAATGTTCTTACTGTCGAATGATATGTGGCATTGTTGACTTCTTTCAAAATAGAATAAACCCTTAACCTTTGCATGTGCATAATATTCTATAGTTTTCACAATGCTCTTGATAAATTGCTTTCTTGCCCTTGACAACCTCGTGAAAGAGGTAGACAACATTATTGACTTGAGTAATGAGCTATTTCTTTTGGAAAGCAAAATGGTAAATAATTAAATCTGGAGAGTTGAGTTAAAATTTGAGGGTTGAGGTTATATTGTAGTCTTAACTCTGATTCCAAGCACTTTCTAAAATTCTCAGGAAAACTGCTCAGTGCCCAAGTCCGGAATGCAGGCAGCACATTCTTACTGATGAGGCTTGTTGGCCTCTTCCCTCCCCTCCACCTCCACTTTTGGAGTTTGTTTTCTGAGTGAACTACCACATACTTTAAGTAAGTGGTTAAAAAGTCAATTTATCTTCTAGAAGAATAACGGCACTGGAACACACTGATGTGCCTATTAAACATCTATTTCAGGGATGGCTAGTTTAGTGGGTTATATTTTGGTTTCTCAGGCTGTAGATTACAAGGCTTTCACATGTTGTGAAGATATCATTTGTCAAATTTGGTCCAGGACGGTGTGGGTGTCAAGGATGACTCCCAGGCATGCATCCTGGATGGATGATGAGGCTATTTATTGAGTTGGGAAGAGGAACAGATTTTGGGGTGGGAGGGTGGAAGTCATGAGTATAATTTTGTTCATGTCGAGACTGAGATGCCAGGCCAGCATCAGAATTGAGATATCTGGTAGTGTCCAGAGCCTGGAAGAAATGTCAGATGGAGTTAAAAATTTGAGTCACATCTACATATAGACACATGTGGCAATAACGTTAGGATGTGGTCATGAGGGAGGGACAAAGACCCTACCTCCCCACCACCTCAGTCTTCTAGCTCACAAATGTGTCATTCTGAAAAATGTTTGGATGCAGTGGGTTAGAATCCACTGACTGCCAACTTTAATAATTCTGCTGAATTGAGATCTGAATTCTTTTCAAACACTGTAGGGTTTCTCATGCAGGTATTTTCAGATCAAATTGTGCAAAACATTGCATTTGATCATCCTGCAAGTGAGACCATGCATCTGGGTTTAGGTCATGATAAAGCTGTTAGCTTCAAATGGGAAAAAAAAATACCTGATTTCACCACAACTCTTTAACATTACTACAAAATTCTCAAAGTAAAGCAGAATTCATAGCTTCACTAAGAACATATGTCACTCACCTCTTCTTTCTGTGGGGCTGACATGTGGGAATGAGGTAGCTAAACACAATAATATGAATCCCGACCACTTAAATATTTTAGGGACCACTAACATCGTCAAAATTGTGATAAATTGCCCTAACTGGGTTGGCGCAGTGGAGAGAGCATTGGCCTGCGGACTCAAGGGTCCCAGGTTCGATTCCGGTCAAGGATATGTACCTTGGTTGCGGGCACATCCCCAGTAGGAGGTGTGCAGGAGGCACCTGATCAATGTTTCTCTCTCAGTGATGTTTATAACTCTCTATCCCTCTCCCTTCCTCTCTGTAAAAATATCAATAAAATATATAAAAAAATTGTGATAAATCATAAGCATATAAAACAGCTCTTCATTCACCTCTTATATATTTATTCTCTGGGTGCTAATGAGTGACAGGACTTTGTAATTTACTATGTATTATTTACTGTGGATTTGTACATCATTTTGTATTAGTAGCACGTCTGCTTTGGTTTGTTAACATGGACAATAAAGAATCAATTCAGGAGATGGATTTTTAGTTCACACCACCACATGCCATGTGTCAACAGAAAGAGTCCTGGATCCTGAGGTGACCACACTTTGTAGCAATGGTATCTGTGTGTACTACATCCATGCAGTTTGCTGTCCTCTCTGGGAAGGAGGTATTGGTGCAGGGGCTGGGGCCCTTGGCTATTTCTTCAGTAGCATTAGTGTTGTCACCAAACTAAAAAGCAGAAAAGTAAATGGGAAGCCCATTGGACAGTTTAAGACTAAAAAGAGCCACAATTACATTCAGTATTTACATCTTGTTCCCTACAGTTATAAACCATGAGAAGGTCATTTTATTACACACTTCCTCCAGCTGGTCTTTTGGGTTGAAATAAACATCTATTTTGGTTGAATTTGTGGGCCACAGTCAGCCTCTTTGTGACAGTAATTAAGGTAATTGATTTGGGGTTGGGGGCTTCTGGAATAATAGAGTGAAGGCAACATCGTGTCCTAGTTATTGGATGTTTTAATTAATAATTAACAAAGGAGAATCAAAGTAAAAGGAAAATAAGATTATTAAATGAAATAGGCAATAATGCTTTGTCTTTCAAACTGGGAGACAGGCCTATATGTGTCTCACTGCATTCTGTATTTCAGGTAATTTGCAGCACTGTTTGTATTCCAAGAGTGAGAAGATGCTGGGGTCCAGGGATCTGGGGGCCAGAATCATCATTCAGTCGTTCCCAGAGGAGCCCAGCAGGGTACAGTTGCAGGGAGTGCAGTTCCGGAACTTGGGGCAAGCCTTCCATAAGCATGTGAGCTCTCTGACTCTGGTGGGAGCTATGAGAGGTAAGGGGGCCAGGTCTATGACTTCTCATATTCATTTCTTATCCCATGTTCAAGGCAATACATGCCAAGGGTAATGATAGGTGATATGTGAACGTGGGGGGTCAGAGATGGATAATTATACTCTAGATCTATGTTTCTCAAACTTTAGTATGCCTAAAAAAATCCCTTGAGGAGCTTATTAAAATTCAGCATTATGGAGCCTATCAAGACAAATTCTGGTCTGAGGTGGTCCTGGGAATCTGAATTTTTCATTATGATTCTGGAACAAGTGTTCCAAGGAATATACTTTGAGAAACATGACTGTAGGTACAACAGATGTGGAGTGAACCATACGATCCATGTTGTAAACCTGCCACTACAGGCATATTGACATTGAATAGTGTAAATCATCAACACTGTGGCAGTCCAGCACAGCAGGGAGCAATTCCCTGTGAAGTTGTACTAACTCAGAGGAATCTTCTTCGTAGAAAAATAGGGGAGAAAGGGCTGAGAACAAGGTGCTTTTCCTGGGAACATAGAGCAGGCAGAGTGTGCAGATCTTGGCCAGAGATGAAGAGATAGAAAGGGAGCAGGAAAAATCAAATGAAGGTGGGAATCACTAAGTGAAAAACAAGATTAGAATCAGAAAAGAAGAATATTGACACATGTACTGATGAAGGTTCTGAAATCAGAATTGGAGCATCCAGGACAAAAGCCCACTGCCAGAAGCTGACATGCAGAGTCAGAGAATTAGAGTACAGATGCTAAGTAATGAGGACAGAAGCTTCATTTCTGCGTTATCCTCCCACCCCTCAGCACCTCCAAGACCCAATATTCAAGCTTTGCCTTCCTTGGAAAGGGAGGTGTTCTAGGGGTGGTGCCTGACAAAGAACATTAGGATATATTGAGAGATTCAGGTGGGCCTTAAAAAATACTAGGATTAAAAAAAGTGCTAGGATTTCAACAGACAATGACAGAGTAATCTTTAAGGTCATTGAAGGCAGAATCCTGGCTAACCAATAGCAGCATATTTTTTTTTCTAATTTCAAATCAACTTGGATGCTAAGAATGTCTATTTATTCTAATGTTCTAATTTATTCTAAATTTTCTCTTCTACCTTATTTATTTATTTTTGACATTCACTTACGGGTATAATTCCTAACATGGCTATTTCCCTAGTACATCTGAACGAATGATCAGTATCTTTGTGCCCTTCGCTCTCTCTCTCTTTTTTGGTCTCCTGGTGCTTATAAGGATGCAGAATATTTGATGTGGGGGCCAGCTCCAATATAAACGAGGATAGCAGTCACATATAATTAAAACCCCCCTTGCTAAAAAATATACTTAATCTGCCTTCTCTAACCTCTGCTTCAGAGTAGCTGCACATGTATTTATTTATTTATTTTTAAAATATATTTTATTGATTTTTTTACAGAGAGGAAGGGAGAGGGATAGAGAGTTGGAAACATCTATGAGAGAGAAACATTGATCAGCTGCCTCCTGCACACCCCCTATTGGGGATGTGCCCACAACCAAGGTACATGCCCTTGTCTGGAATTGAACCTGGGACCATTCAGCCCGCAAGCCGACGCTCTATCCACTGAGCCAAACCAGTTAGGGCACATGTATTTATTTTTATATATTAGGTTTTATTTGAAAACTAGAGGCCTGGTGCATGAATTCATGCATGGGTAGGGTCCCTTGGGGTGGCCTGTGGGAATCAGGCCCCAGCTCGTGCCCCCAGGCTTGCAGTCCCAGCTTGCACTCCCAGCCTCTCAGCCCTGCAGCCCCACCTGGCACCCTGCCTTGGCCTGGCGCCACCCACTCACCTGCTCCACCATCCCGCCGCGGTCCTGCTCTTGTCAGGGCCCATTAGGGCCGGTAGCACCTCCACTGCTGCCAACTGACAGCGCCGTGTCGCCGACGCCTGCCATGTTCTGCGTGGCCCCCTGGTGGTCAGTGCATGTCATAGCGAGTAGTTGAGCTCCTGGTCGAACTCCCGAGGGGACAATTTGCATATTAGGCTTTTATTATATAGGCTAGGTTCAGTGATTAAAAAATGTTTGAAAAACCACTAAGTTATTACATTATTCCCTTTAGGTCTCTGTTAAAATGCAAGTGTGTGTCCAAGGAAGGGACACCATATTAACTCAGAGGTTATAAACTTTTGGCATGCTTGCCAAATATCTTTTATTGTTTCATGCCCCCGAAGGCCCACATGACCCATTGGGCAATTGCCCCCAGCCACTAGCGTTAGAAGGTGCTGGAATTCTTGCATGCTTGCTACTTTTAAAGGTTTACCAATCCCCAAATTTAACCCATAATAGCTCTATAAACACATTAGTGCTTACTGGTTGTTCAGATGTAGCAGTCACAATATTATGGTGATTTAGAGTCAGGGAAAGTCTGCAGCAGGGTTTTCTGCATAAGTGGGTAGGACGGGTTAACTTTTGGTGAGTGATGTGAGAACCTCTGGTACCAGGGAAGCTGAGCTCAAAGGGAAGGTGGAGACCATCCACCTACGGAGACATGATAGTTGAGAATTTTCTGGGTAATCCCAATTTAAAAGTCAAATTATTCCATTAACCAAAGTAATTTTTCTAATTGGCTAACTAACCTTTATTCTAAACATTTGACATTGATATGTCTCTCACTACCTAGAATAATACAAAACTCATTTTTCCAGGAGTTATAATTTATTTATCCAAATGGTATATTTTTACTATTTTAATGTGAGTTTCCTCTATCAGACAGTGAAAAATTTATTATTTAAAAAAATATATTTTCATTGATTTCAGAAAGGAAGGGAGAGGGAGAAAGAGACTGAAACATCAATGATGAGAGAGAATCACTGATTGGCTGCCTCCTGCATGCCCCACAATGGGGATCGAGTCCACAACTGGGAATTGAACTGGGACCTCCTGGTTCATAGGTCGACCCTAAACCACTTTACTGAATTTATTTAGTTTCATTCATCTTTATATCTCCAGCACAATGCACAATTCCTGAAATATATAATATTTATTCGTTGTTGAACCAGTTCACATAAGTTGATTTAGGGGCCATAAAATATACCCATGGAGCCATTGTGATGAATTTCCTAAATGCCAGTTCATTTTACCATAGTTGGTACCACCCCTTCAGCTTCAGAAACCCGCCATATGCAACTGTGAGACTTGTGATCCTCACGTCAACCTCTGGCTTTGCTGATGTCAATTTATAATCGTGTACACCTGAAAATGATATAATGTTATTTACCAATGTTACCCATATAAATTTAATTGTTTTAAAAAGAGACTCTCTGGCAATCTTAGGCCAAGTTAAATATTATTTCCCAGCAAGTTAAAAGTATTACTTCATAGCTCAAGAAATAATGACTACATCTCTTCATGCCAGATGCAATTTTGAAAGATCAGGGTTGGTCCATAACAGTAGTCTTCACGTGGCCCTTAATTTCTCTTTAGCTGCTGTCCACCATATTGTGATGAGAGTAAATACCAAAGATAATGGCCAATGGAAATCTTGACAGCCATGCACTCTTCTGTGGTTTGGCCATACCGTTTTCTCACATTTGACCCTTGGATTCTACCCTGCTTATTCTTGTAGAGTTGCCCATTTTTAAAATTTGATTTCTAATTCCAAATCCTCATTTCCAGAGTTCCATCACTGTGTGGGAGAATGTTCTTAGTTATATTATAGCTTGCTTTGGAAATGATCTCCAAAGAGATCGAAATCCGAGGAGCCTTTCAGATTCCCTTCTAATTGTTACCTTACTCTTCGCTGCTCAGATTCCTACATACAGGGCTGCACCGTGTGGGGCTCCTTCAGCCGAGGCCTCAGCATGTCCGGGACTTTGGGCCTGAAGGTGGACAGTAATGTGTTCTATGATATTTTAGGCCATGCACTGCTGGTGGGTAAGTGAAACGAGCTTGTTAAATTTGCTATTTTTGAGTAAGACACACAGTATTTCAAAAGGAATTATCCCAAAGTTTGAATTTCCAATTTATAAAAACTTTAGCCTTTGCTCATTAGAAATAAGCCATAGTTAAATGTTCTAAAAAGTCATAGTTAAAAATTCTAAATTTAGTTATTAGTGATTGGCTAACTAAGCTTTACCAATAGAAAACATATCATTTAAAGGTGATATTTTAGTACAGGTTAGTAATTATACAATGGTCAGTTTTAAGACTTACTGTCACCAATTTTCACAATAAATTCAAATAAATACGTCATATAAATATATTTTTGTAGCATCTCATGGAATTTCAAGTCTGGATGATGGACAAGGAGTTAAAAATCTTGAATTCTGTTCTTAGTTGCTCCTGTGATTTGCTGAAGAAGCCCATTTTTCAAAACCTTCTAACTGGTCACCTATATCCACTTTTTTTCTTCTTAAATTTATTCCCCTTGCAGAACACAGAATTATGGTTTAAAATCTCAAATTGCATTATATCACTTCTCTCCTTAAAACCATTTAAGAGTGTCTTATTGCCATTAGAATATAATCCAAAATCCTTAACCTAGCTTAAAGGACTCCCTCCCTGATTTTTGCCTCTTTTCTTGACCTTTTTCTCTCTCTACTTTAGCTACACTGATCTCTTTTATTCTAATTCTTTCCAAAGGCTACACTTTCTGCTGCCTCAGGACCTTTGCACAAGCTTTCCCCCCTCTATTCATATTACTTATCCTTCTTCGCAAGGTTCTGTGTTTAAGTTCTTTTAGCACCAATCATTATTGATTGATTAAAAATTACATATCATGTTTCAAATAATCAAATTAATGTCTGTTTTTACCATCATATTTCATGTGAATACTGTTTCCTTAGCATTTAGCACATTAACTAGAGTGTAGTATCTATAGTTGTTGAAATAAATGAATGAATTAATGAACAGAGTCTTTGGTTATATCAGAATAAAAAAGCGAATCGGGGTTTTCACTGAAAGTAAAATTAGAACTGTATTTGCTAAATAGTGTTTTATATTTAAATTAATTCTGTGATACCATTAGTGGGAAAATGTGCATGTTTCATTTAAGAACAATCTGTTAAAGATAAAAGCTATAAAGGGTCTAATCCTGAGAGGGAAACTATTTAGTGAGAAAATATGGATCATATAAACTTTCCTTAAAACATATCTAAACTCTAAAAGGCAAAGAGCTTTAGACAAAAGAAGTGACCAGGTGCAGGAGAATTTTTTAATTAAAAAAGGACAGCTACAGGGCAGTCAGACCAACCGATGGAGGATTAATTTTGTTTATCCTTATTTTTATCCATGTAAGGGAAAACTTTGCTGAAAGTTGGAGCAAAAATTCAGAAAGGAACCCTAACAATATTATCTTAGGAGAAAACAAATATATGGATTAGACATTAACTAGGCAAGGAAGAAAACCTACAGGAGGAATTTTGCATTTAGTGCTTGATATTGTGAATTGGCTGCTCTTGATATCTATTGTAGTGTAGGTGAAGGAATTAGAATATTTATTGATTAATGCCTTATAGATAAAGTACTCAATTCATGCAAAACCAGGTTGCAGATCCAGACTCAGAAATGACAAGGAAGCCCAGATACCTAAAGAGCTAGAAAAGAGGGGGTCTGTGAGGCTGGGTGTCTTTGGGCCTTTTTTCTATTGATGCCACTCAAGTGGCTAGTTATTTCTCTCTGTAGCATAGTCCATGCTTTTATTTTGTTCTATTTCAAATCTTTATGGTTTGGGTGTGAGGGTCCCAGCTCACACCTGTCTGGTCCTCTCCAGCCTGTTTCTCCAGGATATTTCAGATCTTTCGGGGAAAGGGAAGGACATGTAGATAGCTGGTGGCCCTTTAAACAGCTAGGGATGGGTCTGGAGCTGACGCAAGGGCATGTGGCATTTAATTGTGGAGACAGTCACTTAGACTCTTGCTAAGAAGTAAAATAGTAGGTCTATTTCTTTGTTCTTCTTCTTTTTTTTTTTAAGTTTCTGCTTTTCCAAAGGACATTTTCTTTTCTTTTCTTTTCTTTTTATTGCTTAAATTAATACAAAGGGTATTACATATCTTTTTAAAATTTAAAGTGAACTTCTGATGCATGATACTCGAGAACTAAAAAGTCTATATAATCTGTATCTCTTTGGTTCATAGAAAAAAACACAAAAACAAAATCAAAACAAGCCACACCCTAAAGAAGAAATAGTATTGCACTGTCCCTCATTTTCCTGGCTGGCCTGACATGTGCTGAGGTAACATGATCTTTTGTCCCTAGGTACACACGTGGAGACAAGATATATCCCTTGGGAGGCTATTCCTGGAAGAAAAAATGGTAAATATGTAAAGTAGTTTAAAATTTATTACAATCCATTTAAGTTGTCATATATTTTGTAGACAGGCCTGATAGAAGAATGCTAGATAGCTTAAATTCATTGAATATAATAAATGTTTTGTATCTATATATAAACGCCTAAGCGACTGGCCTACCGGCTGACCAGTAGCTATGATACACAATGAGCACCAGTGGACAGACACTCCAACTGGTAGCTATGACGCGTACTGACCACCAGGGGCCAGATGCTCGATGCAGGAGCTGCTGAGCTGTGGTGACTTGGCAGCTGCAGTTCTCTGGTGATGTACCCGGAACCAGAGAGGAGGGAGCCCGATTCTGGGATGTGTCACCTGAGAACTGCCCTCTCACAGACCCCTTGGGGGGATGTTGGAGAGCCAGTTTCAGCCTGATCCCCACAGGCCAGGCCAAGGGACTGCACCAGTGCACGAATCTGTGCACTGGGCCTCTAGTGTGTGTGTGTGTGTATATATATATATATATATATATACATATACATATGTATCTGCATTATGTGAATTATAATGTGTACTAGTAGAAATATGAGTGTTGGGTAATATAACTCTCAGTTATGTTTCTGAGTTGTAATGCTTTAATTTATCTTTTCTTAAATTAGACAGGTCAGAACAAGGAAATACAGTAAGAAACAATGTGATCATCAGTGTTTCTGGTGCTGAGGGACTCTCCAGTCCTGAAATGTTGACACCATCTGGTGTCTATATCTGCAACCCCACCAATGTTGTAGAGGTAAGTTATTTGCAGTTGTGTCATCAATGGTATGGTGTGATAAAATGTTTACTTGCTGCATATTGGTATTCAGGAACTATGATTTTGTGTTAAACAAGTGCTTTAGGATAACTGTAATCATTTCTCAGAGTCCTGTGAATGCTCTTTGAAGCAATATCTGTATGGATCAAGCAAAGTAGATGCTGATTCCTTTCTGGTTACTTAAATTGATACAAACTAACATATCTTCCTGAGCTATATGCGGGGGTGCCACTTTTTGTTTCAATTCCAGTATTAATTACCTATTTAATCTTTACTATCTTACGATACTCATATGGTCATATTATTGCCCTTTAAGAATGTTCAAAACTGAGGGTCAGTGAAGTCAGGAGGTGTAGGAGGCATGTCAGATTCTAGGATGAATGAAGTGTACTCTGATGGACTAGATGTTTTATCCCATTATTTAGTGCAACTTATTACTTTTTATTGATAAATTTCTCTCTAAACATGTTAAGAAATTCAATTTTCTAGTACAGCTTAACCAAGAGTCTATGAATGAGGAATTGTGTCAGAGTAGCGGGAAGGGCTTTTAGTTTCCCCGTTTCCAATGATTTTATCCCATGGGTATCCCACTCTTCCAGGACACTCCTCTGAGCCTCTACTGTATCATCACTATTATGCCAGGTTTCTGAGGAACTGAGAGATGAATGCCTCTGTCTCTCTCTGATCATCTGTTTTCAATTACTTTAAGCTTAATAACCCCTAAAAAAAAGTCATGGTTATCTCCACAACCCTCCTCCAGACTCTTAATTACATTTTTTTCCCAAGCACAGCACTTACACACCATTTTAGGTACCTAATGGGGGCAGCTAATATGCTAGTGAGAAAGGATGCAGAACTGCATGGGTTGAAGGAAACCAAACTTTAGACCCAAAGCAATTAGAGCAGCATTTAACTTGTTGGTGATTATAGGCCTGGTTGTGCAGCTATGGCAGCAAACTTTGGAGCCTAAAGAACTACATTTCTGCATACTTTCTTGGGTAGTAGTATCTTGACTGCATTAAAATATCTAGAGGTGAAGACTCTCAGGGTTTCCCAGCTCATCTTCTTGGATAAGCTGGAATGTATCGAAATCCTGTATTGAATGCCAGAAGTTCTGTCCATTTGACTTTGCTTCATTGAGTAGTAGGTAGTCTCTTGGACAGGTGTTTTGACCACTAGTCAACCCCAAGAAGAACTGAACTGGCTATAGGCCTATAGGTGCAGAGAGCTAGAGGGCCATCTAAAAAGCTGATGGGTCCCCTGAGTGTTTGCGGTCTACCCTGTGAAACAATGCTCAGTCTGCAATAGAAAAACTTAGGCAAAGCAAGTTGTTAGTTCTCCATTGAATTTCTTTCATTTCCATTCCTTTACTTTCATTCTCTTATGTCCACTTTACAAAATTTAAAAAAGTATAATGCACATATTTTGAGAATGAGGCTTCAGTTTAAACCAGCGGTGTAGATTGATTAAGTATAGTCATCAGGTGTGTTCCTGACATTTTCTTCAATGAGCTAAAAATTCTGTAGTTCTCTTTTCTTTAGCTTATTAGCTTTTAAACTCCAACACAAAGTTTGAAACACAATAGTTACTCAATACAAATGAATTAAATATAATGAATGAATGAATGAATGAATGAATATAGGTATCATTACATTATCAAAGAGTGAGGGGGGAAGAAAGAGGAAAGTAAGGAATAGATTCCACGATCCCACAATCATGTTGATGTCTGAAAAATAAGACTTTTAATCTGTGGCAACATTTAAACCCTGTGGGACTCGTCTCTCAGTGTTAAATGCTGCACAGTCCATTCCAGTTTCTCAACTGTGCCACTGGTATTCTGTTATGCTGTCTCTTTTGTATTCTTTTGTCTGGAATGAGCTATTACCAAGGACATAGTTGATAACTGGACATACATGGCAACACCTAAAAGTTATGAACTTCTGTTGACCTTTTGGGCCAGTGAAGGTCATTGTAGTTATTGAGCAAAGAGTAGGTTAGTATTTACTAAGTGTGCCCTATATGGAAAATACAGAGAGTACATTAAAATATATTTTAGAAATACACCTTTATTCCAAAGGGATAATAATAGGCTATCATAACACACAATGTGAGATGTGTGTGTGTGTGTGTGTGTGTGTGTGTGTGTGTGTGTGTGTGATATCTGGAACAGAAAGAGATGTGGTATAACAATACTACCTTCTTCCATGGTTGTTCCGATAGTGAAGGGGCATTCTTTGTTCTGAGGAAATGTTGTATGGGTGGTGAGTTTATGCTCCTTTCTGTGAGGGGATTAGAGTCACACTGATCCTTAAGAGAATGCAGTAAAGCCTTATGTGTGCTTAGAGTTATTTTACCCCTCCTCCTGTCTTGTTTTTCAGTTTTCTTAAAGTCTGGCAAAATATTTTTTTAAAAGCTAGGTATTACTGTCATTAATTAGGGTTTTTCTGTTTTAAACTTCCAATTCTGAAATAATTTTATCTTCATAAAAAGGTGCAGAAATACAACACGGCACTCCTGCGTGACCTTCACCCAGTTTCCCCCCAGTGATAATGTAACCATGACCATCACCATAGATCAATAACAAAATCAAGAAATTGACATTGGGACAATACTATCAGCTAAACTAAAGCCCTTGTTTAGATTTGAAGAGATGAACCTATTCCTAATGCCTGGGCAACCAACCCTGAAAGCCTGAACTCTCTCCCACATACATGAGTCTGACTTTGAAATATCTGGCCTGGTGGGTAGGCAGTGAACAAACAGAGTTAATTCTTAAGTCTCTGCAATAGGTTTGTGGTCGGATATTATTCCCAGAATCTAGGAACAAACACATAGCCACAGCACACAGAATTTTCCTTGATGTTCAAGCAGTCATCTTTACAGTTGACTTCCCTTTAACCCTGTGTGGTACAAGGGAATTTCAAGTGTGATATTCCTTTTTAGTTTTCATAGCCACAAGTGGTCTCCCTGCCTCCCTGCCAGGCTGCAGCTACACCAAGTCCAGGGAGAAGCAAAACCTGAGCTGTGTGCTTTCTTGCTAGTGAGACTCATGCTTGATATTCCTGAGTCTCCAGGGGACTTGTGATATTCCTCTGTCCACTCCTTAGACGGGCCTTTTTTGTACTTTCCAGAAATGGTTTTGTGGTGGTTCCACATGCCCCACCTGCAGCTCTTGGAGCACTCTATTTCCAGCTGCCTTCCCTTGACAGCTCTAGCATTTGCATCTTCGACTCCTTCTAGGGTTTCTTGCTATCTGCCCCAAGGCTCCAGCTCTGCAGTCAACCTCAGGCTAGAGGGAGTTAGCTTACCTCCAGAGCTCCAAGTACCCATGCTTATGGCGAGGTTGGAAATTTCCTATGACCAGACTCTTGTTTAGGATATCCCACAGGAAAACCCTGAAAACAAACCCTTTGGAAACGCCCATTTAATTTGAGGGGGATTTGTTCTGGTTTGTGAATCAATTTTGTAAGGAATTCTGTATTTAAAGGCCCAGTTTCAGTTCTCTCACTCTCCCCACTCAATAGCTAATGTATATTTAAGAGCTGCCTGAAGGGTTAACTCACTTTTTTTCCTATAGATGCATACCTCAAGGAGCTGGCTTACTTGAGCAGTTAATTTCTCTCTGGAATTTCTCTTGCTTGAATGTCCATAATACAGCGACTTCCGCAAAAAATTGATTTCCACACAAAATTCCCTGCTTGCCTTAAACCCTTCCCCACAAGCCGCCGGCTGCCTGCATAAATATGTGGATTTCCTCATGAATCATTTGTAGCATACCCAATTGCAATGGAGAGTGAAAGGGCTGGGAAGCAATGTGATCCGACTGTTCAAGTGCTTCTTTTATAAGAAAACTGCTCTTTCTCGGCTCACAGAAGACTGAAGTTGGAATATCCTGCCCCTCTATGAATGCACTTGGAAAGCATTACATATGATCACCCAGATGCTGCGTAAATACTGATGACACGAGGGCAGATGATGCAACAAATCTATTCATTTGTTCAAAATATGCGCTCTGTCTGGCAAAGGTGATGAATAAGGATGTAGCCCTTGCAAAAGATTCTTTAAATGTTTGAATCTTGCCCCTTCTGGGTAAGTCTGAGCCATGAACTAGCATTTCACTGGTAATGAGATAGAGGTGTATGTCCAAGGGAGATCATTACTTGCAGCCTCTATGCACCTGTCTCATTGTTGAAATACTTACAGAAGGTGGTGTTTAAGAAGCCCCCATTTCCTATTCCTCAATTTTTATGTACTCAGGCCTTTCCCATAGCTCATAGGTATGGCAGAGACACAGCCACTTGACACTGGCTATGTGGAGGGTGGAGCTTTGTTTGTAATTTCATGAGGAAGTTGCCAGTTGTATAATCATAACTGAAAATCAACAGCTATGTTACTTCCTTATGTACCTATGAGGGCTTGAGAGATATATTGGGCACTTGTATTTGCCAACCTAGTGACAGCAAGTCTTCCAGAAGCCACGAATCATGAGTGCGTGTCCTCTTTTCTAGCATGAGGGAAGAATTGAGATAAAAAGAATGCCTACTGCTGGATTTGGTTGTTTGAAAGGATATTAATATCCTATATTTTTGTTGCAATGGAATTGTTTTTTTAGTGTCTCTTTCTGTGGAGTCTTTATGCTAAGCGAAATAAGTCAATCAGAGACAGACAAGTATTACATGATCTCACTCATATGTGGAGTCTAATGAATAAAATAAACTGATGAACAAAATAGATCCAGAAAAATAGAAGCATGGAACAGACTGACGAATCTTAGAGGGAATGGGGGCGGGAGGGGGGCAGGAAGAGATTAACCAAAGAACTTATATGCATATATGTACTAGTATAACCCATGGACACAGACAAAGTGTGGTGAAGGCCTGGGGGTGGGGGTGGGGGTGGGGTTGAGGGGGTCAATGAGGAAAAAGGGGGACATGTGTAATACTTTCAATAATAAAGATACACTTTAAAAAAGAAAAGATATTAATATTCTCCTGGTAAAGATTGCCAAAGCATTCTTATTATAATTAGCCATGAATTTATATTTAGGTTGGTATTTCCATCATAATTTGGAGATGGGATACTAGAAAGTAGGTGTGAATTATTTTGAGAGTACATACTTCCAGTCTAGACTGTAGACCAGGGTTTCTCCACTGTGGCAGTAGCACCATTTTGGGTCATGTAATTCTTTGTTGTGAGAGGCTGCCCTGGTCCCAACTCACTGAACGCCAATAGCTTCCCTCTACCTGAGTTGTGACCACCAAAAATGTTTTTAGAGGCTTCCAAATGCTCCCTGAGGAATAAAATCATCCAATTGACAGCCACCACTCTAGACTATGCCACCTCAAGATAAGTGGAGTCTTAGCAATGGCCCTGGTTCCTTGAAGTCACATTAGCATCTTCAATAGTAATTCACTTTCACATTCAATGGAACCCAAAAGTCACTTTTGCTGAATACAATGTGGTAGATGAAACATGTGTTTAGAATTTAAAATGGCCTCAGAAAATTGGGGAAATGTTCAGAATCCAGAAGGAAATGGGTCCCTTATCCACAGAGGAAGAAAATAGTTCCATAACTGAGTGGAAAATGAGGAGAGACTGGCTAACTACAAATATCAGGGTGAGAAAGCCTTGGGACCCACGGTGAAAAACAGCTAAAGCTAAGGAAACAGCACTGTTGATTATGTCAGGAAGTGCTGGCTGCCCCATCAGGTCCTGGCTGGTGCCTGCTGGCCAGGCTTCCGGTCTTAGTGCTGGCCCTTACTCACACTTCCCCAGAGACTGGCAACCTCCAGGGATTGGAGCACTGGAGTATTGGTTCCCCCTCTTGCACGAGGCAGGAGTTGAGTACTGGTGGTTTTAAAACAATTTATTTCATTTTTTCTTCCATATTGACTTTGCTTGGTTCTATGTGCATTGTGTGTGAGTGTGTGTGCACCCACATGTGTTGGTGTTCCTGGTGGAACATGTAAATGCTTGTATACACCAAAGAGCTTGGATTAGATTATGTAATTAAATTTCTCACTGGACATTTCCACTTTAACCTAAGAGTCCAGTTATTGAGGTGGGAAAATTACAGTCTAGTTGAGCTGCCTAGAAGAAGAGGAATGAGAACATTTTTGTTTCCTGGGGGAGTATGGGGAATGGGTGAGTAAAGAGTAATTGAGTCCATAAAATGTCAACATACCTTAGCAGGAAGTGAAAGAAAAATCAGGATGAGCAGGTATATGAGACTTTATTTCCACTAACTTTGTTGTATGTGTAGTAACTATTATTTAATTATCCTTAATTTCCCTAGGGAAACACGGTGTGTGCTGCTGGTTTTGGCTACTTTTTCCATCTTATGACCAACCAAACATCGCAAGCTCCACTTCTCTCCTTCACTGGGAATATTGCACATTCTTGTACAAGGTAACTTTAGGGAAATTAATTTACATATTGGGTGTAAGGCGTATGGTTTAGTTGTTTTTTTTGTTTTGTTTTTTTTTGTACAAAACTCCTGAGAGGGAATAACTTAACATTCATATGCGATTTGATGATGCAGCTGCAGACCATTTTGAATCATACAAGTTTGGTGGTGAAGGGAGGAAAATGGAGAAGGAAGTCACTTAAGAGGGCAGCAAGACAAGATGTACCTTTTGTGGCCAGAGGAGAATTCAGTAGAGAGAATAATTAAACTTCCAAGAGATAAGAAGCAACTGGTAACACAGAGTCCCTGGGAGGCTCGAGTGCCTGGGCTCAGGAACTGAGTGGGAAGAGGCTCTTGGAGAAGAGGCTCTTCACTTGTTACCGGCACACTGTGAGATGAGAAGGAGCTGTCCAAAGTCTTTGCTATGTAGAGGGTAATGTCATCCACTAAGGTCAAGGGCATGAGAAACAAGGGTAGAGTAGGGAATTTGAGAATCGTGGGAAAAATACGAACTTCAGTCAGCCAGACCCTGATTCAAATCCTGACTTTACTCCTACTGAATTGCTTATTTATTTATTTATTTTTTAGAGTCAGATCCCTTATTTGTAAAATGGAAACATATCTACATTGGAAGTTGGATGTGCCCATTAGAGCTTATGCAATGCACCTAAGAGAACACCTGGAATACAGTAGGAATTCAATAGTTGAAAGCTATAAATACTTATGATGATAATAGGATAGGAATAGTGCTATAATGGAAAATGAGAAGGATTAAGAACAATTGTTACTCCATGTTGAAGCTGAGGCAAGGATTAGTACACGTGTTATGAAATTATCATTAAGATTATGAAGTTTCTATCTAGCAGCTCTCATCAGTTCTGGGATATGAGGGAAGAAAGTACACAGAACCCTAAAATGGTAAGGCACTTCTGGGAAAAGAACAAAAGTTGGAGAGTATCCACTTTCCTAGCAAGGGGGAGAATTTATTCTTTACTTTTACTTTGGTATTTTCCAATGAGAAAAAAGTAGGGTGTTTGAAACACAGAAACTGACTAAATTTCACTCTTTGTTTCACTTTCTAGATATGGACTCTTTGTCTACCCTAAGTTTCAGCCACCTTGGGACAATGACACTGGCCCCACCCTGTTACAAAACTTCAGGGTTTGGGGAAGTGCAGGTGGTGTGCAGGTAAGTTTCTTTAGTTTTTTAACTTTTTATGAAAATTGTTGTTTTCTCATTTTGATTTATTGCACACTAGTAGCCCGGTGCACTGATTCATGCACCCATGGCCGAAGGTGGAATAGTGCTGCCCCACGAGGAATCGGGTTCCCTCCTCTCTGGTTCCAGGGTGTGTCACCCGAGAACCCCCGCTGACAAGTCACCGCAGCTCGGCAGCTCCTGCATTGAGTGTCTGCCTCCTGGTGGTCAGTGCACATCATACGGACACTGAGTTGGACAGTCACTTAGTCCTTTATACATATAGATTGCTATATAAAGGGAGATGACTTGCTGCTGAGGGAAGCATTGTAATATCATCATAGTTTTAAGGAACCAAGAGCATTATAGATGTATGTGGAATAGTTGTTGAATGAAAAAATTACTAGTTACCAAGCCAGGGTTAGTTGACTTCCTTTATGGAGACTTTTAAGCAGCTGTAATAGAGAACAAAAGAATTACTATCGAGATTTACCACCAGGAGGGATCATAAAAGTCATCTATTTCTCCCTTACCATGCCTATTTAGATATAAAAAAAAATTAAAGCTCAGAAAGCAAATGAATTTGCTAATGGTCACACAGTTAGTGGCACAACCAGGTACAGAATCCAGACTCCAAATGTGCATTTGCTACCCTAATATCTTGGCTAATACATGTTTCAATCCTAAGAAGAAGATCCTAGGACTGCTGAGAGCTGTTAGATAAAAACTTCATAATCTATTTATCATTGGAACACAAAAATTCCAGTTCAAAGTGCTTTGCTTACTTTTATCAGTGAGTCAAATTTTCTTCTGTTTTGTTCAAAAGGGAGAAAAGTTCACATTCAGTCATTTATCTTTCATTATCACAGTGATTTCTTACAGGTAAGCTTTGCTTGTTCATTGTTATCGGCGACATATAAAAATTATCCAGCGTCACTATTTGGTGCCACACTGAGAACATTACATACACGTGGTCTCTGCCACTTAGAAATCTGGAGCCTAAGCTACCTACATAGATGAAGAAATATGTTTACAGGGTACCCAGGAAACAATAAAAATGTAAAATTAAGTCACAATAAAAACGTTAGGTATTTACTTTATATATCCAACAAGAGGAAGATAATTTTGAATGGGGAAAACCCCAAAACATATAATTAGGGTAGTTAACCCAGAGATTGCCTATTATATTTAGTATTTTCATTTAATTTTATAGTGTTCATTGTTTTCCATAAGCACTATAAATGTAGGGGTGAGACTCGAGTACAGTGATGGCGAACCTTTTGAGCTCGGCGTGTCAGCATTTTGAAAAACCCTAACTTAACTCTGGTGCCGTGTCACATATAGAAATTTTTTGACATTTGCAACCATAGTAAAGCAAAGATTTATATTTTTGATATTTATTTTATATATTTAAATGCCATTTAACAAGGAAAAATCAACCAAAAAAATGAGTTCGCATGTCACCTCTGACACGCATGTCATAGGTTCGCCATCACTGATCTAGTAGAAACATTTGTTGAGTGCCCTCTTATGCAGAGAAGTAATCATGCCTTGCAGAAGCTTAAATTCTATCTCCAGGCTCTTGAATAACCTTGTTCTAGAGGAAATAACCCAATGAAACAAAAATATTAAAGGGAAATCATTAAAATCAGTTTCTCAAATTCTGTAACCAGAGTGCTGAATTCATGAAAAAATGTCTAATCTTAAAGATTAAACTCTTGTGCACTAAAAGTCCAGATAATAAAAATGCTTTTGAAACTTCACTTTCATGAGTAAAGGCAAGTAATTAAAAGGAAAGTAATTAAAGTAACTTCCCTCAGAACAATCTGAAAAAAAATAAGGTGGACTTAACACTTTCTTTTTTCAGAACATACTATAAAGCAATAGTACATTTAGATTGTGTGGTATTGGCACAAAGATAGAAATATAGTTCAATAGAATGGAATTAAGTCCAGAAATAAACCATACTATGGTCAACTGATTTCTGACAAGGATGCCAAGACCAATCAATGGAGGAAATAATAATCTTTTCAACAAATGGCCCTGGAACAAATAGAGAGACACATGCAAAGGATTGAAACTGGATCTTTTCCTCATATTATTAACAAAAATTAACTCATAATGCTCCAAACCCCTAAATGTTAGAGCAAAAAAAATTATAAAACTGATAGAAGAAAACAAAGGAGTAAATCTTTATGATGTCGGATTAAGCAACAGATCCTTGGATATGACACCAAAAAGAATAAGGAACAAAAGAAAATAAGATAAGTTTAACTTTATCAAAATTAAAAATGTATGTTTCAATGGATCCCATCAAGAAGTGAAAATACAGCCGATGGAATGGGAAACAATATCTGCAAGTCATATATGAAAAGGGCTTATATCTAGAATAAATAGAGAACTCTTTTGATAAAAATATAAATAACCCAATTAAAAAATGAGCAAAGACATTTCCCCAGCAATTCAAAAATGGCCAGTATGCATATGAAAATATGTTCAACATGATCAGTTATTAGAGATGCAAAACCACAGTGAGATACGACCACTTCATACCCTGATGGCTAGAATATTAGTGGTAAGTGTTGGCAAAGATTTTGAGAAATTGGAACTGTGAGAAATGCTCACTTGTTTAAATTCAAATAACAGACTCAGAGACAGAAGTATGGTGAAAACGAGACTTACACGTTCTCAAGAGCAGGTGTCTATCCAGTTGTACAGGCACATCTGGGACAGTGAACACAGCCCATTTATTCAGTCCCTCCTCTGGTTCATCATGGGCTGAGTACTATGGGGTCACCTGTTTCCTCATACGTTGCCTAAGTCTTACTGTCTCCCATTGGGCCATTCAAAAAAAATTGGGCTGAGCCCCTTTCTAGTTGCCTCCACCATGATGCTGGCCCACATCCACAGTTCCTTGCTATTACATCCTTGTCCCTCCCTACATTGTTTGCCCTGGGGAAATGCAGCAACCATTTCCATCAAAAGCCGGCCATGCTAGAGGTGGATCACAGAGGCCCATTTCCTACGGAAACTTCATACACTGCTGGTGAGAATTTAAAATGGTCCAGATGCTTTGGAAAACAGCCTGGCAGTTTCTCAAGTGATTACAAAAGATACCATATGATCCATTAATTTTACTCCTAGGTATATATCAAAGAAAAATAAAAACATATATCCTCACAGAAACATATACACAGATGTTTATAGCAGTGTTATTCATAATAGCCAAAAGGTGGACAAATGGACAAATATAGTGTGGTACCTTAAGACAGTGGAATAATATCAGCCATAAAATGAATCAAGTACTATACTGCAACATGGATGAACCTTGAAAACATTATGTGAGGAAAGAAGCCAGTCACAAAGCCCACATACTATGTGATTCCACTCATATGAAAGACCAGAAGAGAGAAATCTATAGAGACAGAAAGAGGATTAATGGTTGCTTAGGGCTAAAGGATATGGTGTTTCTTCTTGAAGTGAAAATGTTCTGAAATTGAGTCTGGTGATAGTTGCACATATCTGTGAATGTACTAAAACCTTTTAATTGTAAACTTTTAATAGGTGAATTGTATGGTGTGTGTATATTAATAAAGCTGTTAAAAAAGAGAAAAACAACAACTTCTTCTGTACATAGCCATGTAAACTCAAATGTTCCCTCTTCCTATCCGTGTGACCTTAGGCAAATTCCCTGTTTCTTTCTCATTTGTAAAATGGAAATAGTTATAGAACCTAAATGATAAGGTTGTTTTGTGAGTTACATAAGTGCCTGCATATAAAGTGCCTAGAAAAGTGCCCCAGTCTTTCTGGGTATATAATAATAGCTGTTGTTAATAAGCAGTGTTGGGTGGTGATAGAACGATGTTGATAATAATGATGACTCTGGAAATGGTAACATTTAGAAGTGCCTTCTGCATCATAAGAAGCACATTGTTTTAAAATTTCTTAAACTTTCATTATTAGATAGTTTTCATTTTTTTGCTATTGGGTGTTGATTTCCTTTAGTAATTACCAGGTTCTCCAGTTAATGCCAGATGTTAGCTGTTTTTTAATATGAGTTATTTGCCAGAACTTGAGATACCTGTAATTGGGTAACAATTGTGACAAGATCATACCTATTTAACTTAAGTAAAGCTTTGTATCTTCAAAAATCTATCATTTTTATAAAAGTTATTGGTGCATTCAGAAAAGGAAATGCAAGCTATTTAATTCTTGAAAATTCTAGCATAAAGCACAATACTATGATAAATCAAGGCTACCTTGGCCTTAATTAATAGGAAACTTCCATTTTAAGATATAAAGGCAACCATGACCCTATTTAATGAAGAAGGAATGATTCTTTTAGGTTAATTGTTAGTCCTGATCTCCACCCTGGTTTAAAGATGGTTGAATGAGGCCTAAGGAGAAGTTAGATGTCTTTTCCAAGATCACCTAGTTCGTTAATATCAGTGCTAGGTGAAAATGAAAGGTTCTGTACCACAAATTACTGGGATTCTTTCAACTTTATTAATCTAATTTTGTTAATACTTGATCCCAGTTTGGGCCTGCCAACATAACCTGTCATAAATATATGTTCACAGAATGTATTTTGAGTCTGTAGTCATGTTCAATTACTTATTTCACATTTACAATTTTCTGACAATATTAGTTAATATATACTACTGAAGAAAATGTTAAATACTGGGGTTCTTGGATGCTATATTTTTCTCCACTAATTTTGTGTAATTTGGAAATGGCAAGTTTATTTTAGAAATGTTTAAGAATTCACATTGACCTTTTTAATGTGTCAATTATTATGAGGAGAAATGAAAAGTATAGAGTGGGTGTTACTAAAGAGGACTAGTTAGTGCTGACCGCACGGCAACTTTGGGATGTCTGTGCAGATATCGATGGGCAAAAGCATGGTTATTTATACTTAATTAATAAGTTACCGGAAATCTGCAAGCAAAGCCAAGCCTGAGAACTTTGCCATAACATACGCTGATTTTTTTAAACAGATTTTCAGAACTAGCAATCTTCACCTGAAAAACTTCCAAGTTTATTCATGCAGAGATTTTGGAATTGATATCTTGGAAAGTGATGCAAATACTTTAGTTACTGACAGCTTATTCCTTGGTCATTTTGCTCACCAGGTAAGTACCTACGTGTGGTTGCTTTAGGTTGTCCATCAACAGCATCCTATGTGATGGGCTCCCTGGTGACCCAGGATATGTAATTTTAATAGCATTCTTCAGTGAATCTTAATATTTAACTGGTAAAAGTTAGAGGAGCTTTTTATTTGTAACAGTGGCAGTATTTATCATAAAATTCAAATATATCCAAGGATTCAATGTTATAAGTTAATATAAATCATAAAAATCATGAGTAGCTTGCAGAATTTTTATTTGGTTGCAATATAGCATTATTATCCATACCAATTAAATAATACATCTAATAATTTTCAGTTAGTTTATTCTAACCTCACAATAATTATAGAATAGCATGATTTCATATTGTCTCTGCATCGTGGTTTGCCAAGTTTCTACAGCAGCATTTTGTTCATAGGGTCCTTACTACTCTATTTAGGGTGCCCTCCCAAAAAATAGGTAATATAAATTTACATTGTTTACTATAGTGTACTACCTCTTATGTTACTCCCTAATACTTCCTTAAGTGTGGTGTTAAAGAACAAAATTCAACAAAGTAAACTTGAAGATCTAATTGGCTTTATTAAGCGATTCATTAACAGGGAAGTATCCTATGTAAAGAAAGCTCTGAGTGGTTGTACAAAACACAAGGTTTTTAAAGGCAAAAGGGTGTGGCAGGGGAGTTCTCCCCCACCTCCCTCCACTTTATTTTTCCCCCATCTCCATTTATCCACTTTATACCTGTCCATGAGCGTGCGCTTGTGCGCTCTCTCTCTCTCTCTCTCTCTCTCTCTCTCTCTCTCTCTCTCTCTCAAAATATATTTTTATTGATTTTTTTTTTGCAGAGAGGAAGGGAAAGGGACAGAGAGTTAGAAACATCTATCAGCTGCCTCCTGCACATCTCCTATTGGGGATGTGCCCACAACCAAGGTACATGCCCTTGACCAGAATTGAACCTGGGACCTTTCAGTCCGCAGGTCAACGCTCTATCCACTGAGCCAAACCGGTTAGGGCTCTTCTCTCTTTTTCTTTTGCTCAATCAACCCCGCCTCCCTCCCAACACACACAGGGGAGTTCTTAGCAAAGGAAAAGAAAGGATTATTTTTAAACCAGGTCATCTTTGGCGGAGGGAAGGGCAGTGGTTTTACCAAGCAGATTTTGCCTCACCAGTGATGCTCAGGAAAATTCAGACTGATTGGTTTAACATTCCATTCCTGAGAGAGGCTGAAACTGCAGTTAGGTTAATTATTAGCTTTGGCTTGGTGACTTGGCTAAGCAGAAGTGACTCCATCTTGGCCTGTTGTCTCTCTGTCTCTCTCTTTTTAACTGTGGATTTCTACATGATAAACATAAAGACTGTAGAGCACGTCTGTGGCACTGCAAGGCCAGCTTACTACACTGTAGATGAGGCAAAGAGTTCCTCCCAGAAGAGAAGTACCTCTTCTCCTCCAGGGAAGCCCATGGTTCCCATTGGTCTCAGTAAGGCTTCAGACCTATGGAGGGTCCCCTCAGTCCTTGTTTTGAAAGAGGTACATGCATATTGCCATAATAATCGCAGATGGAAGGGAACTAAGGTACTTCTGAGAACCAAGGAAAGAGCATTCTCTTTAGTTTGTTCCTGAATGCTTTGGCCAGTTGAAATTTAAATGATAATTATTGACTTTTGTAATTCCCTTTGAAATTACTTCATAGCTCTAGATATAAATATTAAGATTAAAAAAATCCTTTGGTTTCTACATTTTTCTTGTTTAGTTTTCAAATGTAGTTAAATCTCTTTTGAACCATCCTTTCCATGAGGAATATCTGCCAGTTTTTCCTTTTCTCTGAAAGGATTACCACCTTGAGAAATGATTTTTTTAGACTGCATGGTTTCCAACAGAAGATGGGACTCAGATTTAGATTCTGATATACCATAGTTCAAAGCCTCTTAAATGTTTCCAAAATAACCTTCGAGGAGATGCTAAAAACCAAATGTCCATCAAGCTGAGTAACTGTCCTGGTAAATTAATGTCACAACATCTTAATTGATGCTAAGTAGACATCATAATCTAATGGGTGAGTGACATAAATTAAGATATAAATTTTGACAGAAGGATGGTTATCATGAGATAATAAAAATAATCATATTCCTGAGATGGGATTCACTGGGACTGCATTACAGCTGAGGGCCTCTTAGTCGTTTAACAAGTAAGGGCAGGACAAAAGCCCCTGGATGGGAAATGTTAAGCACTCGGTTCTAGGGGAGATCTAGATCCTGGTTAGGCATCCAAATATTAAAACCACGTCATTTTAGAGCTAAATATTACCGAAGTGTTAATCTAGTTAGAATTCTTGAATTTACAGGTGAAGAAATAGGGGCTTTAGGAAATCAAGTGAAAGCCCAAGATCCATGCCTAGTAGTGTGGAGGTGGGACTACCTGGATGGCCTCCCACTTCTGATCAAATACTTTCTCAGTTACACATGGAAAATAGCTTTGACAATGACATGCATTAGTACCAATTTCAATATTTCCTGATGCATTTTCCATGGAAGGCTAGCCCCAAGAGAGGGTCTAAGAAAAGGAAATTCTTAGGTTAATAATAGTTAGGGTATGCTGCTTATCACACCTCTCATCCCCTGAATTTCACATCATATTTTAACACATTAAAGGCTCTGCAGAGCCTAGGGTGAAAAACAAACAAGAGCCATATCTCTGAATCTTTATTTAACACAATAATGTTTAGATTTATTTGGGAACCTTTTATTGACATAAGAAACTGTGTCAGTTGTTTAAAAAAAAGAGGGACCTGACCTCTGTGGTTGTGGAACTGATGTTAGCCTCCAACTTCTGTGCCTGCCATTTCTTTATGTATTAAGATTTTCTGAGAATTTGGCCTATTATTCTTAGACCTTCCACCCACATATAATTGGGCACACAATTATCAGTGAATCATATTCTAAAACAAACACTAGTTTCTGAAGGCCTTATTATTATTGGAAAGAATTTTATTATTTTTTGGCCTCTAACTAGCATATCTATAATAATAAAGGCATAATATGCTAATTAGACTGGACGTCCTTCCAGACAAAGCCCGTGCTGCTAGGGAAGCCCGGGTCCCGGGTGCCAGAGGGAAGCCAGTGCCAGCAGCCGGGAGAAGGAAGGCCTACTCTTACACGAATTTTGTGCATTGGCCTCTAGTTAGTGTATATGTTGGTACTCTCACACCCAACATTACCTTTATATTGAGATGAGTAGAATAATTTCCAGTGAGGGTGGCTTTAATATACAAGACAAAGTGATGCACTCTATCATCACTATACTATCCATCCTAGTTTGGTTGTGCAATTGGTTTAAACTGGTTGTCCTAGCATTTATCCAACTAGCACCCCCTTTCAAACTTTCAAAAATGTTCTGCTTTGGATATATATTATGCTCACCCTGCTTTTGAAAGTATCTGTAGGATGCTTGCCTTTTTGTTGTTATTGTAATTAATTTGAGCAGATGATACTACTTTTAAAAATATCTTATTCAGACAGATGCTAATGGGCTTAGTTAATTTTTCCTCCTATTTCTCTAGGGATCCCTTCCCATTTTCACTGGTGGATTTGTCTTCCTCAATTTAGACCTTTCATTTTTTTATTTCTCTAAAGTTTGTTGTAGGGGCCCTTCTCTTCTCAATATACTTGCTCTCCCTGGGAGAAATCTCATTTTCTCTAGTGATTTCAATTACCATCCGCACACTGATGTCTCCCATACATTTGCATTTATTTCTACCATCTCATTTTGTGCTTTCAGTTCGCAGTGCTTTCTTTGTCTCTACTTTTTAAACTTGATTTGTCTTGCATTGAGTAGTGTCATATATATATATATATATATACACACATATATATATATATATATATATATATACTCATTTTACAGTTATTAATTCTGTGTAATTATGTTCATTATTGGATTTAAATTTTTAACATGCCTGCTTGTCTTAAAATCTAAATTACATCAGCACTGTTAAACTTTACCTGAGCAATGCAAGGACTTCAAACACTTTTCTTTCTTTACCTTCACATCTAGTGTTTTACTTTTCTGTAGTATTTTGTTCCACTGAATAAAATAAAAGTTTTATAGAAATATCATATTAATGGAGATAGGTACAGAAATCACAAGCAAAGATCTCAATGGATTTTTAAAAAGCAAAAATCATGTGCATAGCACCCTGTCAATAATAGAATGTTACCACTTCCTCTGAAGCCCCTCATGCCTCCTCTCATTTAACCCAACCCCCAGACCCCTGCCTGAAGAGGGACATTATTCAGACTTCTATAGACATAGATTGGTTTCAGATCTGTTTTTGAAGTTTATATAAATGGAATCATAGAGCAAAGTAGCTCTGTAGTGTCTGGCTTCTTTGGCACGACACTATGTCTACAAGATTCATTCATTTTTTATGTTATAATACTTTATTCTTCTAATTGCTATGCAGTTTTCTACTTTATGACTGTACCACAGTTTTGTGTGTTTTTTTTTTTAAACGGTATATTGCTCTTGATAGATATTTGATTATTTGCAGTTTGGGGTCATTACAGATGAAGTGTTATGAACAATCTTCAGTGTCTCTATATGTTCATGCACTTCTGTTGAATATATGCAAAGTTGTAAACTGCTGGCTCAAAGGATGTCCCTCCAGCTCTAGGGGATAATGCCAAACAGTAGTCCCAAGTGTTCACACTTGCACTAGCATGCGGGTGAGGAGTTTCACAGCTGCATCCTGGTATTTCTCTTGACCAGTATCCTGGCTAGTTTCTCCATGTCTCCCCATTATTGCTCCTAACTCCCACATCTTCCTCCTTTCTGATTTAATTCCTCATTTATTAGAGTGTAGCCTATAGTAACTTTCTTAACAAATTAAGGGTCCATGGAAGGTAAAGGTTTTGAGCTACAAATAGAGAACCCCTTATTAGTAGGTTGTTGGTTATAGAATACCAGGTTAAGTCACTTTGAATTGTTATTTTGAAGGCAATGTTTCAGTATCTTCTAGCTTCTAGTTTTGAGGTTGAATAGTTTTAAGGTCCTCTAATTCTAGGTCTTTTTTTAAAAAAATGTTTTTATTGATTTTTAAATAGAGGAAAGGAGAGGGAGAGAGAGAAGAAACGTTCATGAGGGAGAAACATTGATTGGCTGCCTCCTGCATGTCCCTTACTGGGGATTGAGCTGCAACCCTGGCATGTGCCCTGACTGGGAATCAACTGGGGACCCCTTGGGCCATGGGATGACGCTCAATCCACTGCCACACCTCCTGGGCTAATTCTAGGTCTTTTATGTGTAACCTTTTAGTTTCTTTTTTGGATCTTTTTAGGATCTTGTCTTTGTTCCTGATGTTTTGCAACTTCAATATGATGTACCTTGAGTGGCTTTTTGTCCTATCCATGGTGTTAGCCACTGGATGAGAACTTCCAGTCTTATTTCTTTGAGAATTTTATAATTCTCTCCTCTTTATTTTCCTTTTTTGAAAACTATCATTATTTGGATATTGGACTTCCTAAATTGGCTTTCTAATCTTCTTAAGTTTCGCTGATTTCCCAACTGTATTTTTATTCTACTTTCTAGGCTATCTTGTCATTTTGTTCTTACGGAATTTGTTATTTCTGCTCTCCTGTTTTCATTCTCTTTTCCTTTCTGACTCCCACCTCCTTTTCTTTGGCTGCTTCTTCTTGCTTCATGGATAAAGTCTATTTAGTTCTCTGTGATTATTAATGGTGATATTTTAAGTTTTCTCCTGATTTCTATACTGCCCTTTTTTTCCACTATTTTTCTTTTGTTTGTTTCTATCACTCTTTCCTGTTGAAAGTCTCTGAAAATTTCTGCTAATCCTCAAATGTACAGTGAAACACTAACAACTTGATTAGATGGAGTTTGTTGAAGAAATTTTGTGGTTAAATCCTGGAAGCAATTTTTTTTTTAGGTTTTTAAATTTTAATTTTTATATTAACATACATTAAATATAAAATGTATATGACTTTTTTGTAGTTGTCGTTAATCCTTACCCCAGGATATTTTTCCTACTGACTTTGTAGAGAGAGTAGAAGGGAGGAGGAGAAACACAGAGAGAGAAACATCAATGTGAGAGAGACATATCGATTGGTTGCCTCTTGCACACCACCAGGGTCGGAGCCTGCAACTGAGGTACTTGCCCTTGACCAGAATTGATCCTGGGACCCTTCAGTCTGTGGGCCGTCACTCTATCCACTGAGCCAAACCAGCGAGTGCCTGACTTTTTTTTTTGATGTACAATGTCTGGTTTTTAACATATGTATAGACTGGTGTAACCACCTCCACCACAATCAAAATGCAGAACAATTGCATCAACCCCATAAATTCCTTCCAGCTCCATCTTTGTAGCCACGTCCTCCTCTCACATCAACCCCTGGGAATCACTCATCTATTCTCTGTCTTTTCAACAATCATATAAAAGGAACCAGATAGTGTGAAACCTTTGGCACATGCCCTCACTCGCCTTGTGTCTATTGGTTATGCTTATATACATGCATACAAACCCTTTGGTTGATCTCTACATCCTTCCTCCACCCTCCCCTACCTTCCCTCTGAGGTTTGACAGTCTTGAACATAATTTTCATTTCTCAAAGGTAAACACCTAGGAGTTGAATTACTAGGCCGTATGATAAGGGTATGTTTAACTGGATCAGAAACTGCCAAACTATTTGCCACAGTGACTGTGCCATTTTGTGCTCCCACCAGCAATATATGAGAATTTTAGTTGTTCCTTATCTTCATTAGCATTTGATATCACAATTTTTTACTTATCATTCTCATAAAAATATAGTGTATTTTATGGTGATCCTTTGTCGTGTATATGACTTGTAAATATTTTCTCCCAGTCTGTAGCTTGTCTTTTTATTCTCTTAATTGTTTCTATTTGTGCATTACAAATTGTACTAGTTCTCTTCTTTTTCTTACTTCTTTTCCCCCTTGTGAATCATAGGGAAGCCTGTGTATGTCAGCAGGGATCAAAACTCCCAAAAGATGGGAACTGATGGTATCTAACACAACTTTTGTTAATTTTGATCTCACTGGCTGCGTGTCCATCAGAACCTGTTCGGGCTGTTCCCGAGGACAGGGTAAGTTGATTGAACAGATAAGACAAACAGTAAATAAGGCCAACACTCAAGTAAATATGATAAATAGTGGCAAAGCCTTGTGACTCATTATTTCTTTCAGTTATAAAATTGCATCAGTAGAAACTGCGGCTCAAATCCCCTAAAATAAATCCTAGAGGAGGCCAGGTATGCTCAATAGGGCTCCTATAGCTCCCCATTCGTCTATCACCCTATTATTAGTGTCTCTGCTAGACTCTGAGCTTCACAAAGGCCGGGATTATGTCTCTTCTCACAATGTTATCATTAGTACCTAGTAGCCTGTGCCTAAAAGGCTCATTGTTTAAATTAATGGATAAAGATGAATGGATAGACATATGAATATAAACTAACATGCATGCAATCTTTACTGAAGGAGCCAGAACTTAGTACTTTATGTTTTCAGCAGCCCAAGGTTTGTTGTATGCACAAAGAGAAGCACAGGCATTTTTGTTCAATTGTTAACCACATCTCAGAGGTGGTGAGGAATACCTTGGAGGACTCATGGGCTAAGGTGAAAAGGAGTGGGGAGCAATCTAGTTGATTTGATCTTTGTAAACAGCCAAACCAAGTAATTCAAGTAAATATGCTCTTGTGGTTTGAATCACCAATTTAGATAATTGTTTGTTTTTTTAATTAAATGAATAATCAGTAAGTCTCCACTTTACTTTTTTTTTTTCCCCTTCTGAATAAGCAGAGCCAAAGACTGTTTTTATTTGGGTGGCATCTGACTTAAATTTGTAAATAATAGGAATAAAAATAACTTCGGACATTCACTTTAAATCACAACTCTTCAGTTCTTTAAAGCTTCATTGTTTCGTATCATTTATAAGACACTGAAGAAAGCACTCTGTTCCTTATGAGCTCTAATTCCTTCTCACTGCATAATCTTACTAAGTCATACTGTTTGTTTAAAAACTGTCTATTCCAGGTTTGTTTAAGGAACTGGGGCGTACAAAGATGAAAAACACATAGCTCTTCTCTTCCAGGAGCTCTTGATCTAGGCACAAAAGTAAATGTTTAATCTAGTCTCTGTACTAGAGTGTGATGAGTACAATCCTAGAAAACTGAACAAGGTCAGTGAAAAGAACAAGGAAGGAGGTCAGGTGAGATTTCATAGAAGTGACTCTTTTATTTTAAAAAAATATTTTTTAAAAATTGATTTTAGAGAGAAAGGAAGTGAGAGGGAGAGAGGGAAACATCTATTGGATGCCTTCTGCACGCCCCCTACCAGGGATCAAGCCAGTAACCTGTGCTTGTGCTCTGGCTGGGAATTGAATCAATGGCATTTTGAGACATGGGATAATGCTCAGCCAACTGAGCCACACCGGCCAGGGCCATAGAGATGACTCTTAAGCAGGGTTTTGAAAGGTGAATGGATATTTGCAAGAGAGACTGTGCCAAGAAGAGTTTCTAAGTATTAAGAATAGCATATGCAAAAAATTAAAATCCCAATAGGACTGAATTGTAGTTTCAGGTAGTTGTGGTATGAGATGAACTTTAGAAGTTTCCAGAAGTTAATCACGGAGTCTTGAATGCGGGACTTAATTCACTGCATGGACTCCACTGGGATGCCGAGTGAAAGCATCAGGGCTTCTATTTCTCTGTATCTTATTCTTTTTTATTTCCCTTTTTGTCTATTTCACAATGTACATAATGAAGACGTATAGTCACATATGTACAGAGAGATAAGTGCTTAATGTAAAGATTTCAATGACAGGGCTGTGTGATTTAGAAGACCACTGCCATAGTTCCTTCCTGGGCAACCAGACGAGTGGCAGTTCTGACAAATCACATGGAGGTGGTGTGAGAGACAGACTGCTGAGAAGTATAGCTCTAGAGCAGCGGTTCTCAACCTGTGGGTCGCGACCCCTTTGGGGGTCGAATGACCCTTTCACCTGGGTCGCCTAAGACCATCAGAAAACACATATATAATTACATATTGTTTTTGTGATTAATCACTATGCTTTAATTATGTTCAATTCGTAACAATGAAATTGGGGGTCACCACAACATGAGGAACTGTATTAAAGGGTCCCGGCATTAGGAAGGTTGAGAACCACTGGTAGAGCTAATACTTAAAAAGTGTGTTACTATTACTCTTTGTCCACATGATTGAAAGTTGCTTTTGAGGGTAAATCTTTCAAGTATAAACCTCAGAAGAGGTGGGGTTAAACTCACCACAGAAGAACTGGAGCAGACGGATGGAAAGACTAAACCAAGACACCTTTAGTAGTTAGTAATTAGTAAGTTAGTGTTCCGTGTCTCTATTTCCCACTAGAACGGTTTCTCACCCTTGGCACTATTAGTATTTTGGGCTGGATAGTTTTTTGTTGTGGGGACTATCTTGTGCATTGAGGAAGTTAATCAGCATCCCTCCCTCTACCCAACAGATGTCAATATCACTGCCATCTATGTAATTGTGACACCCCCAAATGATTCCAAATAGGGCCAGATGTCCCCTGGAGGGCAAAATGACCCCTGGTTGAGAATCACTGCCCTAAAATACAGACTATATGAAGGCAGTATCATATTGCTCTTGTTTTCCACTGTGTCTCCAGTACATATCACAGAGCCTGGCATACACTAAGCACTCATGATTTTTTTTCTTGAACAAAACTGTATAAATACGCAATTTAAAGTACTGAATATATCCCAGCAAATTCAGCTGCCATTTGTTATAATAACCTTCTGTGCCTTATGTAACACTCTTATTTCCATTTTATAGGTGGATTTACTGTGAAGACGAACCAGTTAAAGTTTACAAACTCTCCCAACGTAGTAGCATTTCCATTTCCTCATGCAGCAATTTTGGAAGACTTGGATGGGTCTCTGTCTGGGAAAAATGGAAGTCACATTCTTGCTTCCATGGAAACCCTCTCAGATTCTTGTTTGGTCAGTGCCAGATTCAGTCAGATTGTCCCTGGCAGTGTCTGTGGGGAAGATGTTTTCTTTCATCGTATGTCTATTGGATTGTAAGTTGAATTAACTTTACTTTTTAGTTTAGCAGTGAGCATGCATGTATCATTCAGGCTGTTAAGATTTATACACTTGATGTTAGCCAAAAGGCCGAGAAGTGATGTTGAGGTTTATAAAAGGGAAATTTTTTCCTAGATTCTATTTTAAGTATTTAGTTCTACATAAGTGATGGTGAATAATTTTGACAGCTGTCAAATCATACGTTTATGATTATGGTAGTTTTAGACTGATTCAAATGGCAGCTAACTTTCAATATCACTGGACCAGAACTCATAGTCCATGACCTCTTATTGACATTTTGAGCTAATAGCTTCCTCTTGAAAAGATTTGCAACCAACAGAAAATTTGACATGTATTTAAATTAATATATTTTTATTGATTTCAGAGAGGAAAAGGAGAGGGAGAAAAAGATAGAAACAACAATGATGAGAGAGAAACATCCGTTGGTTGCCTCCTATACATCACCTGTGACCCACAACCCACAACCTGGGCATGTGCCCTGACTGGGAATTGAACCGTGACCTCCTGGTTCATGGGTCGATACTCAACTACTGAGCCACACTGTCTGGGCGAAATATACTTAAATTAAAAGTATTATTAAAGCCCTAGCCAGTTTGGCTCAGTGGATAGAGCATCAGCCTGCAGACTGAAGGGTCCCAGGTTCGATTCCAGCCAAGGGCACATGCCTGGGTTGTGGGCTCGAGCCCCAGTAGGGGGTGTGCAGGAGGCAGCCGATCAATGATTCTCTCTCATCATTGATGTTTCTATCTCTCTCTCCTTCTCCCTTCCTCTCTGAAATCAATAAAGAAATATATATTTAAAAAAGTATTATTAAAAATTCCAATGATGTCCATTCTCATTTACACATGTTTACTCTCCCCAAGCTCTTTTTAAGTGTTCATATGCTCCAGGGAAGCAATAGCTGATGCCTTCCTATTACTTGCAAAGTTGCTTCACTCCAGTTCATTTTCCTTGTTAATTTCATGAGCTATTGGATTCGTACAATACATTTCCTATTAATATTGGAGCAAGGACCCTTTGGTTATGCTAGTCAAACTACCATTAAGTCAGCAGCTGGGATCTTTATAATGCATAATAGGATTGCTTCTGCCCTCTTTAATTTACAGGTAATGATTGTTGAGTGTCTGGGGTTCTATCTTTTACCTGTTTCAAACATTGTATATATTTAGCCAGGAAGAACTTCTTTCCTTTCTTCCTTTTAAGTGTTTTAACTGCAGGAATACTAATTAAGTCAAGTGATTCAGATAGAGCATGTTGGCATCTGTTTTAAGCCAGTAAAGTCCAGAGAGTAAGTCCCTATGGTCAGTATTGCACAGTCTGCATTTTGAATGCCTATGGAACCAGTATTTTGACATTCTGTTTTAAAAGCCTTAGTAAAACACTGCTAGCATCAACTAATTTGAAATTATTTTTCTACTTTTGCTGTCCAGACTGTGTATTATTCTATGTAATGTTAATGGGTCCAATTCCAGTGAGCAAAATAGCAATGTGGAGCGATATATTTTAATTTTTAATCATTTTGATTGTGCAGAGCATGACTTTTTAAAAATTCTCACAGATGCATCCCGGTTTTTATTGTTATTTTAGTGATTTTTACCAAAGGAGTCTTAATGAGTGTTTTCATATTTATAAGTTAATGATTTATTTATTTTTTTATTGTCTAGTTTTACATATGTCTCCTTTTCCCCCAATTGAAACCCCCCCGATTTATTTCTTAGATGCATTTTTTTTTCAAATGAGGAAAATTAAAATGGATTCATATAATTAAAAAGAACATTATGTGTTTCTATGTCACTTACTTGTCTGTCTTTATACTCCTTTTTTATGCCTTAGTTTGAAACCTATTGGGACACTGTCTCTTACAGAGGCACTTAGCGCAGGTGTGAGAAGGCTCTAATCTTCCTGAGCTTCTGCTCTTGGAGAGCTTTAGGACAGGACACTCAGGTGCTTACCTTAGCAGCACTTAGGGACCGACACGGTCAAAAAAATAAAATCCCAAAACACTATTCCAAGCTGATTCAAAAGGCTTTTACTAGGGTGAAAAAGTTGTCTTGGTTTGTCTGGACTTTTCCTGGTTTTAAAATAGAAAGTTTCATGTTCTAGATACAGCCGTGGGCAAACTATGGCCCGCGGGCCGAATCCGGCCGTTTGAAATGAATAAAACTATTGAAAAAAAAAGACCGTACCCTTTTATGTAATGATGTTTACTTTGAATTTATATTAGTTCACACAAACACTCCATCCATTGCTTTTGTTCCGGCCCTCCGGTCCAGTTTAAGAACCCATTGTGGCCCTCGAGTCAAAAAGTTTGCCCACCCCTGTTCTAGAAACTCCTTCAGTCTTGAGAAAACCAGGATGGTTGGTCACTCTACTCTCTCTGATTATATTACAAATTTTCAGGTTGATCCACAGGTCTATGGACAGATGCCCAACTATCCCGAGTTAGCGCCAGGGAAGTGTCAGGTATGTCTCTTGGCTCTGGAGTCCCCACCTCTAGGATAAGGTGATTGCATCAGATGGTCTCTAGGGACTTGCTTGTCAAAGTGCACCAGCCTCCCCAGGGTTCTGTTAGAAGAGGGAATCAAAGACTCCGCCCCAGACCTCATGAGTCAGGACCCTCAGGTGATTTATATTCAAGTTTGAGAAGCACTGCCCTCAGGTCCTTCTAACCTTACCCTTCTATGACTCTACCCCTCGCATTTGTGCTGAGTGACTTGATCTTTGTCCCAGAGCATTATAACCTCATTAGGAACATGTCAGAGCTAATGAGCAATTTGAATTCAGCGTGGATACAAACTTTGCTGCATTTCAGGGAGACAGGATTAATTTGTTGTGCTACTCGCCCTGGAGCAAGCACCCTAAGAGTTGATTTACAAAGCTCTCACAGTCATGATCTTTTGGGGTTGCATGCTGATGGAGATCTGATATGGCACAAGCACCCTGCTGTCTTCACTTTCCACTCTTACCCCATCCCTCACCATGAGGTCCCAGAGTGTGGCCTTGCATAGCTCTGTAAACAAGGCACCACATTTTCCTTTTTCGAACCACCAAATGATTGGAATGGAATTTCTTCCTTGGAAGTCCCCCCGTCTATGGTCCCATTTCACTATTAGTTTTTTTTGTTTGGCATTGGCAACCTTCTGTCCCTGCCCCTCGCTACCTTTTTTAAGTCAGATGGGTACCCACATTTGTGATGCTTCCTGTTTTATAGCTTCCTTGGACTCCACCCTAGCAGTTGGGTTGACAGGCATGTAAATATTTCCTCTGTATAGAACTGTCAACCTCTATAGGGCAGAGTTTAGTTTTATGCTTTGTTAAAATGCCAACAGACTTGACATGCAGGAGAGCTGCTTACATTGTTCTCTCCCTCGCTCACCAGTTCTAAAACAGGCTTTCCTAGGAGCCACAGGTGTTCTGGATCCTGTTCTTTTCCCAGCTTCTCTTTCTACCAATCTGATCTGCCCAGCTCACCCTTCCTGATAAGGCAGGGATGGAGTTAGCCCTACCAATGTAAGGCAGAGCTTCACTTCGGAAAACTACATCAGTGACTCATTTTCTCCAGAGGTTCCATAATGATGACATGCCTAACATAGTGCTTGGATTTATCCATCCCCAAACTTAGATAAATGTTTTCTTTTACACAGGGATAATTACATGGAATGAGCATACTATCCCCAATAATATATTTTTTCCTATATGTCAGTTGGAGCTGTTCTTTTAAAATTATTTTATTTTATTTTAAATCTTTACTGAAAGTGTTATCTATGTCCCCCCTTTTCCCCATTGATCTCTTCTAGCCCGCCCCTGCCTCCCCCCACCCCCCCAGCCTCAGGCCTTCACCACCCCATTGTCTGTGTCCATGAGCTATGCATTTTTGTGTGCTCCTTCCAGATCTCCTTTATAAGCTCCTTTCCTCGTCTCTTAAGTGCTGGGTGTTTCTTAGGATTGATTCTGTGAGGAGCTTTCCTTTCTCTCAAGTCATCCTCTTCCCAGGTGATCTGGGATATTTCACCACTTCACTTAACATTCATTGATGCTTCCAGGTTTTCTTTATTTAATAATCTCTACTGAGCTCCAGACCACTAATCCAACTGCCCTTAGGATTGGCACTGTCCAATAATGTAGCCACATATGGCTCATTCAAAATTGAGATGTGCCATAATTCTAAATTATACACCACATTTTTAAGACTCACTATGAAAAAAGAATGTAAAAGATCTCAATAATTTGGTTATATTGATTATGTTGAAATGATAATATTTTGGATACACTGGGCTAAATATATTATTATAATAATTTACCTTTTTTCTTTTTAATATAGCTACTATAAAATTTAATATTATGTCTTCGGCTTACATTAATGATTTGCATTATATTTCTATTGAACAGCAATGCTTTAAATATTTTTACTGGAGTGTTTAATAGGCATCTAAAACCTGACTTGCCAAAACTCAGTTTTACAGTCTTTATCCCCAGGGGAGGGGGATAAAGAGGGGAAACATCATTGATGTTTCTATCTCTCTCTCCTTCTCCCTTCCTCCCTGAAATCAATAAAGAAATATATATTTAAAAAAGTATTATTAAAAATTCCAATAATGTCCATTCCCATTTACACATATTTACTTTCCCCAAGCTCTTTTTAAGTGTTCATATGCTCCAGGGAAGCAATAGCTGATGCCTTCCTATTACTTGCAAAGTTGCTTCACTCCAGTTCATTTTCCTTGTTAATTTCATGAGCTATTGGATTCGTACAATACATTTCCTATTAATATTGGAGCAAGGACCCTTTGGTTATGCTAGTCAAACTACCATTAAGTAGTTTCCCTCGGGATTCTGAGAAATGCTTATTTCACACATAAATCATCTACCAAGTACAGTCCGTTTTACTTCTCCCAAAAATTCCTCTTGAGTCTTTCTACTTATGTCCTTCCCAACTTCCTCCCCTAGTCCAGGCCACCATACCTCTTACCTGTAT